TACATTTTGTAATCCCGCCGGAAAAACCGCAACTTTTTTTGGTGATGCAGTCTAATGTACATACATACATTCATACATATGTATTAAATATATCGTCGTTTAAAGTACAAAACCGCGTATCGTCATTCTGCAAACTGCGTAACTGACATTTGCTGCCAAAAATTGGATTTGCTCACACAAGCTCTTGGCTAAATCCTTATCCATTCGTCCTGAAATATACTAGCCAGAAATGCGATTGCTTTATAAAAAGAGAACCATTTTGAAATATGAGTGTTTTTATACCCGAGCGCACTTGTGCACAAGGGTATATTAATTTTGTTCACATAACGGTTGTTTGTAACAGCCAAAACGAATCGAGATAGATATAGACAAATGTATACGTAACCGTTCTACCAATTTGTACCAAACTCGGTATGGTTATTGTACTTGCCACGTGTAAGCAAAACGTTGAAAATTATTGAAATCGGACTAAAATAACGGCCGATTCTCATATAAAGGTAAATTTAAGAAATGCTTGAAACTTCAATATTTCGAAATTGAAGGACGCTAATTTACTCAAAATTGATACACCTCGGCTTACCATCTAGCGGAAGGTTTCAGAAGGGTGAAAAAACATATATTTAATACTTGCGCCGGGTATTTAATGTTCGGCTCCGAACTTAGACTTTCTTACTTGTTACAAAATAATTTATGCAACCCCAGTTACACGGTTTTGCATTTTACCATTTATTTTAAAATTTTTTAATTTTAATTATTGTGTTTTAAAGGTATAGCATATTCTTAACAGAAACCATATAAATCCAAGTTTCAATATTTGTGCAAAATTAAAAAAGAAATCAACAAACTTTGTAAAAATTTCGAACTTTTTAATAAGATTCTTTAGAAACATTTTGAGTATGCAGTTTTCTAGCCCAATTTCAAGTACCATTGATTTTTAAGATTTTTTTTCGTCGAAGGTGTTGCTCATTTTCTCCATAAAACAAAAAAAATCGTCGAAAATGTTTTGTATGGAATAAAATGGCTAACATGGTCAAAAAAAAAATATTGCCAACAATCAGTTACTTTAAATTTGCCGTAAAATGGAATGGGCAAAAAAACTGCTTACTCAAAATATTTCTTAAAAATCGAATTAAAAAGTTCGAATTTTTTACGAAAGTTTGTAGATTTTTTAAAACGTTGCACATAGATTCAAGCTTGGATTTATATGGTTTTTGTTAAAGATTATACTTTATTTTTATAAACAAATAATGAAAATTAAATAATATTAACACAAATGGATTATGATTGGAGATTTAAAAAAAAAAAATTTTAATTTGTTTTCAAATTTCTCGTCTGAGGTATTGTATTTTAACCGAAATTTTTTTCCAGCTCTGGGGGGGAGGGCGATCGCCCCCATCGCCCCTCCCCTGTATCCGCCACTGTATATAGGGTGATCCATCTAGACCTTTTTTTAATTTTAAATAAAACACTTAAAAGAGAACTGGATATCGGAATTTTTACATTGTCTAAAAATAATTATTATGGACAAAGACTTTTGACTTCACTTAACCCCAAATAAAAAAGTTCAGAGGGTCAATTCTCGTTCTGCGTTATTGCGAAGTGATAAAAATAACACTTTTACACCGCATTTATTTCGGTGTTAATTTTATACTTTTCACTTCACTTTACGATAACGCAGAACGGGAATTGACCCTCAGAGCTGTGATATCACACAATAACTTTCTGAAACCAAATGTTTCCGACATCACGAGCTTAAATTTCAGGCAACAAAAAGGCCGCTACAAAGGTGCGGTAGCGCTCGTTATTGACGGTTATGTTACGTCTGCGGCTAATATTTGAATCAAATTATTTTTAAAAAGTAAATGTCATAGAATGTTCATTCGGGTACTAATAAAGATTCCGACTTCCAAACTGAGAAAAGGGATTAGTTTCGACAACTAAAGATATTTAGTTCCCGAATTTCGACAATATGTATTTGGGAACTGTTACCAAGGATTGCGAACTATTACCATGGGTTGGTAATTATAAATAAATATATTAAAGCTTCTAATATTCATCTAGGTTGTACCAAATCGTTAATTTAGTTGAAGGGTTTGGTAAATACTAAGAAATATTTTTTTGAAGCATATTTCTACAAATTCCATTCAACTTAACGTATGGTTCATAAAAGGATGTCATTAAGCTCTTCTAATACAGATAAGCTTTCTTTCAACACATGGTTTAGTCATAGTTACCAAATCTTAGCTGAGGCAACCAAGATTTGGATTGAGAGCGGAACATATTCAATCTTGTGAGCCACCCCTAAATAATGCTGAGCGCTCTCTGAGCACATATGTGTTTCACATACGAAGAGCGCCAGCTGAGCAATGCACACAGTTCCACTTAAGCTGATGCCACATAAAACTTTTGCTTCGCTTTACGTGACAGATTCGCTTTGACAGAGAAGATGAATTGTATGAAAATGCACAAAGCACGCCACATAGTTCGTTGAAGCTGCGGCGCGGAGCGAAAAGATGGCCAACTCCCATCTTTTTGCGCGCTTTGACAATCAAACGGTTTAATATTTATTTTGTTTCGTCCAAATTCGAGTTTTCATGTAGAAACATAAAACTTAATTACATTGCTGATATTTCTAAAGCAAAATATATAAAATCCACAGCAATTTTGACGAGTAAAAAAGCAGTACAAAATTGTTTTCTTTGCGTTCATTGTACCCTTTGCGTCTGGCGCTTCGCTGGCAAAGTTATAAATGTCACGCAAAGCTACAAAGTTTTATCTGGCATCAGCTTTATTGAATTGTTTGAATGCGCTAGTATGCCGACCATTGCATAAAAACGATTCAAGGAATGAGACTGTGTGCGTATA